TAAGCCAATATATAAAGTTGGGAACATTACCACAACTTAGCAAATCTTACATTGTCAAAGATTAATTTCTAGTGCCTGACCTAACAGGACCATTTTGTTCACAGTAATGATTCTGCGCTCTAGTAGCAATGAATAGCTGATGTCTGAGATACTGTCTCGATGGTTCCTACACTACATAGGAGTGTTCCTACAGGAAAAGACACTTGCAGCAACATGAAATTTGAACTCTTCTTTAAATATACTATTTACTGAATTTCTCTGTTTAGTCTAGCACATCACACTTTTTATTTTAAGGACATGATACAGCATCCTATGCACCACACAGAACTTAAAATTGTTATGTTTTAGCTAGTCTCTCTGGCTGTTTCCTAGCAGATTTAACTGGCCTTTGATAATGTTTTCTTTTTAATGTTTTTGCATGCTAAAGCTGAAACTGCATTAGAAAAACATAAGCTTGCATAATGTTGATTTATTCTAGGAGGTATATTATGTGTGATGGAAATTCTGATTTTGACTTTGTGTTTAAAAAAATTACTCTGTTTTCTATCTCAAATATTTTTCCATGAGTAAATTGATGTTAATTTTTTTTTCCACAGAGAAACACATTCCAGGCTGTTTTAGCCTCCTCTGACTCCAGTTCCTATGCTATTTTCCTTTATCCAGAAGATAGTTTGCAGTTCTATAGTACATACACCAAGAATGATGATGGAAAGATTCCTGCTATGGTTGGCTTTAGTCAAGCCTCTACAAACTACTACTTTTGGGAAAAACCAGGATCCTACAATGTGATTGCTAATGATGAAGACAGCATTAGAAACCTGCACCAGTATGCTTTTTTGTTTGTTTAATCTCTCAAAAAAACTTCAAGGAGTTCCATGATTTTCTTAATTGTAGCATTACTCAAAGATCCCATTAGCCATTGCATGAGAAATTGCAAAGTCCACCATTGACAAATATCTACCCTCTTGAGGAATATGAGGACTTCACAGAATCACAGAATCTTAGGGTTTGGAAGGGACCTCAAAAGATCATCTAGTCCTACCTCCCTGCCAGAGCAGGATCACGTGGAGCACATCACACAGGAACGTGTCCAGGCAGGTTTTGAATGTCTCCAGTGAAGGAGACTCCGCAACCTCTCTGGGCAGCCTGTTCCAGTGCTCTGTCACTCTCACAGTAAAGAAGGATTTTCTGATGTTTATGTGGAATCTCCTGTGCTCAGTTTGCACCCATTGCCTGTTGTCCTGTCACTAGACATCACTGAAAAACTTAGACTTCGATCAAATTTTTCAAAAGTCCATAGCTCCATTGTCACTGGTAGGAGCTGCTGTATGCTTAGCCCTTCTATAAATAGGACCACTTAATATTTTAACTCTTTAAAGTCTATCCTGGGCTGTTTTGGTTATTTTCTTTTCAAAGAAAAAGTAAACAAGAAGGAAAGGGAATTAGTTAGAAAGTTCTAGTAAGTGTTAGCAAGATCTTTGTGGCTGAAACATTTGCTTCTGCTCCTATCACTTTGGAGAGGAGATTGCTAGAAATTCTCAAAAAGAGAACTCTGGATGTGGAAAAAAAAATGCTATACAAACTGTCCAGGGTGCCTTATAACTGAAGATAAGTATGTAGATAAGATAATTAGACAGTTTTGTCCTGATAATTCTCATGAAAGGTAACATTTTGTGTAGGCTAGAAATAACATACAACTTGTGCTTGATCATTTTAATTTGGCTTATGTTTCTCTTTGATAGAAGCAGCAATGCTGGGAAGCAGGGTGTCTGGGTGTTCGAGATTGGGAGCTCGTCTGACAGTATTGTGCCTGCCAAGATCAGCAACGTTTTGGAGACTGTAGAGACTGATGAACAAGACCAGGAGATGACTTCAAAACCATTTATGTCAGACTATGGCTCCACTGAAATAAGACAGCAGTATGTCACCAGTAGCATGGACAGCACAGAAGAGGATCAGCTCCACGTTACGTACAGTGTTCCTCAGCTAGCTACAGAAGACTTTCTGACCTCATACCAAGATGTAACAGGAACACCTCCAATAGATTCTTTTTATAGTCATCAAGATTTCCCAACAGCAAAAGCTCCACCTCGCCAGTTCCAGGTCCAGCAGTTCCCTCCACAGCAACCCCAAGTCATAGATGTGGAAGAATTTGATGAAACTGGTATAGGTAAGGTCTTCTGAACAGCTTGGGTCCTTCTAATATATGGATAGGCTGCAAAAAAACCACAGGTGTGCAAGAAATTGAGCTACTAAAGAAATAATCAATTTATTTTTCAATACCTTTGTATCTGAAAATCTGGACACATTTAATGTATTTGTGTAATTGATAGGCATAGTTAACTCAGATGTCACGTCAGATTCAGATCTTGCCAGTCTAGTAAACTAGTTACTCAGTTGATCTCACAGGAGGACACATGTACAGTGTGTCTGTGGAACCTGAATCCCTCCAAAGGAAAGCTTCCTGTAGAGATAACTGTATTGCTAAAATTGACACGTTCATAGTGGGAACTGATTTCCCCATCTCTTTTGCCAAGGGCTATTATTAAAGGTATGATTTAACTTGAATAGCTGCATTAAGTAGCTGTTCCTGGTAGGGATTTTAAGATCAATTCTACAGAAACTTGCCTTTTTTTCTTTCAGAGATGTGTTACTGATTACAGGTGATTTCCTAATGGTTCGAAATAGTAATTGTTGTAAAAATGCTTGGCTAGGGTTTCATGACCTCAGATTTTACAAGGGTGGGATTAGCACTTCTGGAAGTGTTTATAGAACATTCAAAACAGTGTGACTGACTGCCCATGTGTTAATTGTTTCTTCAAGCAGATGCAAGATTTTCTATCTCTGTGAAATAATAAGGTAAAACAAGTAAGATTACAGGGTGCATCATTTGGTATATGGTCCTGGATACCATGTTGCTGTGTTTTGTTCTGAGGCTGGAAAGACTCCTTTTTGCTTTGGTTCGGAAACAAGGACAGGTTAAAATTACTATCTGGCTAGTTTTGCCAAGACAGTTGAACTGATCTGTATTAATATCAATCTGCTGAAGTAAATAGAATTAAACAGTTTTCTAACAAAGAGTCATAGAATGGTTAAGGTTGGAAGGGACCTTAAAGATCATCAGGTTCCAACCTCCCTGCTATGAGCAGGGACACCTCACACTAGACCAGGTTGCACAAAGACTCATCCAACCTGGCCTTGAACACGTCCAGGGAGAGAGCAGCCTTGATGTTTTCTGCAAAATATAGTAAGCTGTTCCTGGAGCATAATAAGGTTAGCAAAAATCAGTCTCAATTGTTTATTTTCCTTAAAAAGAAAATGAAAAAACTCATCAAGTGAGTCTAGAGATATTTTTAAACTAAACCAGGGATATGTGAATACTGTAGTAATTACATGAAGTATAAATGTCTGGCCTTATTTTCTGCAGTGTTTCGCTACCACACAGATGTCCAACAGACCTGTGCCAACAACCGTCACCAGTGCTCTGTTCATGCTGTTTGCAAAGATTATCCCAACGGGTTTTGTTGCAGCTGTATTGCTGGTTACAAAGGAAATGGCAGACAATGTGTAGCAGAAGGTAACTTTTTAAAAATTAAGTACACAAGTTGCGATTACACATGGGGTTCTTGAATGATTTGGCCTGTTTTCAGTACTAAAGAAGTGGTTAAAATACTTTTTGAAAGACCTCACTGAGATGTATTGAAAGGTATGTTAAAAAGTGAGCTATGCTTTCTAAAATAGTGTGGGTTTTGAATGAAGCAAACTATTTTCGGTGGTCAATCACATGAATTACACATTTTAACGTGACTTTCTAGAAAACAACAACAACAAAAAAAAAAAAAACAACACCAAAATTCTTCTGTAATTGACATAATTTAATAGATAGCATAACATCAAGTGTTTTTTGCTAGAACTAGGTGTGAAGTTCAAGTGTGTTATAATCAGATGTGGTCCTTGCTCTAGAAATGGACAATTTAAAAGAAATGAGCAAAAAATTTTGATCATCAAACTAAAGAGCATATCTTTGTCTGACTTTTAAGCTTCTTTAGTAAAGGGCTGATCTGCCAGATTTTTTACTGGCTACCCATTTAAGTTTTGTTCCTGTGTAAAATCCAGAAAGGAATTTCTTATGTATACACTTGTAATCCTCATAGTGACTTGACTAAAGTGTATAGATGCATTTCAACAACTCAAATATCTGACTGCAGACTTCGTGTTTTGTAAGGGAGAAAGCAAAACCTGCTGCTTAACTTTCAGTTCATGAAACTGAATTTTTCAGAGAAAGAAAGAAGTATCTGATGAATATGGAATTTGAAATCACCTGCAGGAAACTATATACAGAAGGAAACTAGCAGTCCAAAATAGCTGCTTCTTTAAAATGCTGGCAGTCTTAAAACAGTCAAGAAATAGGACAGGTTAGAATAATAGGTCTATTATTCTAGGACCTAATGCTGTTAGCCTTCTAATAGGGAATGAACAAATTTACTTTCAGTAGATATTGCCATGATGTGTGATCTTCAAAAGAAGTTTCTGTATGCCAGTTACTGTCAGAGATACTGTAATGGCGTAGTCTGTTTATGGAGTTATCCTTTCAGACAAAACTGTTAATGAGACTAAAAGGCATCTCTTCAGGCAGTTTTGGCCACTTAGTCATCTGTATACTGACCACACACATATGTGTGTACCTATGTGCCTAAGCAAATCAACACGCTGCTTGGAGGCAGTTTCCTATCTGTCGAATATTGTGAGCATTTGTTTGCCATTTATTTCAACACAAATATATTTGAACATAATGAACACTCTGAACACATTCCTTGGAGAGTATGTGAGAACTGTTGTTTTGTTCTGATGCAATGTATTGAATTCCCAGGTTCGCCTCAGAGAGTCAACGGGAAAGTCAAAGGAAGAATCTTTATAGGAAATAACCCCATTCCAGTTATATTTGAGAACACTGATCTCCACTCCTATGTTGTGATGAACCAAGGGCGTGCCTACACTGCTATCAGCACAATCCCAGAGACTTTGGGGTATTCTTTACTGCCTCTTGCCTCTATTGGAGGTATCATAGGATGGATGTTTGCTGTGGAACAGCAAGGATATAAAAATGGATTCAGTGTTACTGGTAACTTTTACATTAAAATCATTTTTAAAAACTATGCTATGCTTTCCTCTGTCTTGAGAGAAATGTGTCTGCAGAAGCAATACAGGATGAAAACATATTCTGAGCTGCAAATGGATTGTTTTGTCATCAGACTTCTCACAGTTCTTCTTGTTTACAATGTATAGATATCAGACTTTTTAATTTGCTGTCGGTGCATAAGCATGTAAGTGTGTTAGAAAGAATAGCTTGGCCAGTTCCTGTGCAAGGAAGAGATTGTTAAAAAGGATCTGATTTTTGGTACTAAGTTGTAAAGAGCTATGGAAAAAAAGCTTCCCCTGCATCTATTAGAGGTCTAATATGTTAATTGCCTGATTGTGCCAACAGAGCAGAAGAAAAATCCAAATCTGACCTCATGAAGGTCTGAAATTCTTTAACAGAAGCAATTCCTGCATTAGATGCAAAAGATTCTCTTAACTTATTTGAGGGAAACCCCAGTTCACAATTACAGCTTTTTATAAGAGTTTGATGCCAAATCTCATTGCTTGCGCACATGACTTCAAGATGTTGATCAGATCTGTTCTAGGAGAACATGTGTTTCTTTTTAAAATTTCATCCTTTATAACCCTGTACTGCAAATTTAGTGGAACATCACTTTTTGTTTTGGACTTGTCTTGGATTTGGCGTGTTTGAAGTTTGTCCTGGAATTTATAACATACATTTCACTTGGTTTTGATTTGGAAACAGATGTACTGGGTTTTATTTTTTTTTTAACTCACTGTATTCCTAATGGAGGTTAAATTTGCAACTCCTTTGCCATTTTAACTAGTAGGATATGGCCTACTAATGTTATCTTTGTTTGAACATTTCTTTTATTATTTGAAAAAACCTTCTTCTTCAGACTTACTTGCAATTTAGTGTGTTTAGTGCTTAAGAAAATATTCCTTGCATTATCCAAGGTTATTATCAGTATACCTCTGAAAGATATTTTCAATTAGTAATTAAGCTGCATCTAAGCTTGTGGAAAATAGTAATTTATATTTTATCTACTAGAAGCTTTAAATAGAATGACTGAGAAACTGCTGTTAAGTGATTTAACTAATGTTGTTTCTTTAGGTGGGGAGTTTACACGGCAAACTGAAGTGACTTTTCTTGGCAACAATGAGAAACTGGTTATAAAGCAGAAATTCAGTGGAATTGATGAGCATGGTCACCTTACCATCAGCACAGAGATGGAGGGCAGAATACCTGAGATCCCATCTGGTGCATCAGTCCATATAGAGCCATACACTGAACTCTATCACACTTCTAGTTCTGGTAAGGTTCCCTAAGAATGAAATTATAAGAAAGTGCCTGTTTCTCAGAGCAGAGAGTAAGACAATCTGAAAAACATTATTTTATTCCCTTCATAGCTAGTGTACTCAGGATCCTTAAATTTACAGAAAGTTGCTTTTTGCCTTTTAGGAACAGGTCCCAGAAGAAGGTGAATTTAGAAATATTTTCATTATCCCATTCAAATATTTTAATTGAAAAAATGTTTGCTTTAACTTTCTCTGAGCTCTTCTTTTGCAAAACATTACTGATTTCCCTTTTCATTGGTCTCATTTTTTAAACTGCTGATCATAGTCATACCAGTTGCAAGCTTTTTTGTAGGGTCCACAGCTCTTTAGTAAGAACTGTACTGCTGTATATTTTTTCTGGTAATGTCATCAAGTGGGCTTTGGTCTTCTCTGAGAAGACTATGCAAACCAGTTATTCACCAGTATGTGTTATATAAACTGCATTGCAATGACTGTTCCTTGTGTTTGTAGCAACATTTTGTTAGTATTACACGAGCTGAATTTGAATAATTTGAGCAGAAAATCAGGAGCTTCTTAATTCCCTTATCAGTTTCCTCCATTGTCTCTTCACTACTTCTCTCTCTCCTGTCTCTCTCGCCTCCCCCGCCACTCTCTCTTCCATATCTCTGACTCCAAGATTTCGTAGGAAAGCCATTCTTCATTTCAATATTTAGAGGGGAATCTCTCTTCTTTTGCTTTCCTCTTCCTGGGTAAAATTACGGGTGTTTCAAAATAGCAAAACCAAGTGAGGTTGGAGAGTTGCTGCTGGTTGGCCAGCCCAGCTGTCAAACAGCAGCGAAGAGGAAGCAGGCTGTGGTGCACCCAGGAGTGCATGAATACTGGAGACAATACACTTTGCTCCAAGGGCACACTTTGATTGACAGAGATAGCTGAAAATGGTGTAGGTGCATCATCACTGCCTTATATCCACCAATGTCTGACTTTGGTAGCCAGTGAGGGACTCCTCTTGCTGCTTTGCCTGTCATTCTGAACTGTGAGGAGGAGGAGATGGAGGTAGCAGAAAGCTTCTGCTTTGGGCTGAACAATTTCAGAGTTTTGGAGAAGTTGTTTGAGCAGCATGTGCTCTGTGGAACACCTGCCTTGGCAGAAATGCTATTTAAATGGAGGAAACGTAAGGGGCTGGAAGGAGGCATCATTCAGGCTGGATTTGATTTACAAGTACTCACTTATTCTTCTGCTGCCCTATGACACTTTGATAGCTTAGCAGAAATGCAGCTTTTGCTAATAGTTGCATGTGGATTGGTGCAGCTGTGTTCTGGAATCCATATGAGGAACAGTGGAGTTCTGAGGAGCTTTCTCATAAGACAGAAAACTGTTGTGAAGCATACAAGAGCTCTCAGACATGCAGCTTCTTCAAGACTGTCAAAGTCCGAGGCCAGTAGACCACATTGGGCTAAAAGTGGATGTAATTTGCTGCTGATGACATGGCTCTTGTCCTTCTTAGCTTATAGATCCGTTATGTAAGTTAATCTAAAGAAACCTCTAAGATTCCTGAGTTGAATTTTCCTTTCTTTACCTGGTAACCCACAAAGTAAAGTTAAATTTTTTAGATATGTCAAGATGAATTATATGACTCATTCCTCAAGGCTGTGATATGCAAGAACAGAGTTAGCCTAGTCAAGTGCCTACTCCTTTGTATGTAAAACAGCACTTTCATTCCTTCTTGCCATTGGAATTCCTGTTTTCACTACTCAGCCTGTATCCCAAGTCTACAGGTAGCATTGGGCAGAATATTTTTGCTCTCCATTCTGATCAGTGTGTTTGCTGCTGTGTTGCAGTGATCACTTCATCGTCCACCAGGGAGTACACAGTGACAGAGCCAGAAAGGGATGGGGTTGCATCCACCTACACGGGTGCCTATCAGTGGCGACAGACCATCTCGTTTGATGAATGCATTCATGATGACTCTCACCATGCTGCTCCTGCCACTCAGCAACTCTCAGTGGACAGTGTATTTGTCCTGTATAACCGAGATGAGCAAATTCTGCGATACGCTATGAGTAATTCCATCGGCCCAATCAGTGGTATGTATGAATTGGAAATATTTTTCTCCTTTGTGAGTACATAACAGCAGTCTTATATATATTTTTTTTATTTATTTATTTATTTATTTTTTTTTTGCCTACCTTAGCTGGGTTAAATTAATAACTTACTATTGATTTGTTGCATTAGTCAGTAGAAGTTTGGGTCCAGAAATGAGGAGGGTAAATGGGACTGTTGAAAGTTTGTTCACTTAGGGAAGGGTATTTAAGTGATTATCTCCTCTTGAAATTCAATGGAATTTATGTCTAATTCCTTGAAATACTCTCAACATGCTACCTTGAATCTATTACTGCTCAGATACATGGAATGTATAATTTATCTTTACCTGATTTATAGTTTCTCTACTAATTATTTTTATGCCATCAGAGCAAAGGGCAAAAGAAGGGAATAAGATTTGCCATTGAAACAGTAAATTTCTGTAATTTATCTTGGAACATGGCGTTCTGTCTTTGGAAGGTAGGCAGCCTATGAAGTGGCTGCCCAATTTTGTCTTTCTAAACTAAAATCAAAAAGAAAGCAAAGGAGCAACTTGAAAATGCACACCAGATGAGTACAAGAAAGGGCTGTGCTACTTTCTGTTTGTTACAAAGATAAAGTTCTGCTAATTAAAATGAAGAAACCAGGCTGTTAAGGATCACATTTTAGGTCAAGTGTCAGTGGCTGGAAGATGCATTATTGTTGGATAGAATCATCATGGCTAACTATGATCTCTCTTTTCAGATGGTTCTGCTGATATTAACCGGAATCCTTGCTACACTGGTACCCATAACTGTGACACCAATGCAGCGTGTCGTCCGGGAACTGGAAACCGTTTCTTCTGTGACTGTTCAGTTGGCTTCCGTGGAGATGGAAACGTTTGTTATGGTACCAAAAAAATGTCATTAAAAATCATAGAATTGTTAAGGTTGGAAGAGACCTTAAAGATCATCTAGTTCCAACCCCCCTGCTTTGAGCAGGGACCCCTACCACTAGACAAGGTTATGCAAAACCTCATCCAACCTGGCCTTAAAAGCCTCCAGGGATGGAGCATCAACAACCTCCCTGGGCAACCCATTCCAGTGCCTCACCACCCTTATAGTGACAAATATATATAGAGAGAGTGACAAAATGACAGCAAATGTAGCTTGGAATGTATTGACCTTCAGGACTAATCATTCCAGCAAAATGAACTGTCCCAAAAAGCTGGTTTTGAGAAAGATGGATTAGAGGGATGCTGGGGTAGTTGATGTAGCTCAGTAATTAAAGTAAGTAAGTTTGGCTGTCTTGAAGAGTCAAACTTTGGTATGTTTTGTTAGCTTATGTATCATCTTCCCTACCTAGTTTGCCTTTTCATAAATCTTGTGGGAACTTAGCTGTGAGAAGTGAACTGTTCTGCAAGCTCTGGATAAAATGAGCCAACTAGATTAAAAGTTCTTGGAGGAGATGAAGAATTGTACATGCACATGTGTACAGAGCACAGATATGTGGAGCCTTTTGAAATAATCTTTTTCAAGGTCTGCTCTGAAAATCCCTGCTGTTCAAGGAGACATTAATTTCCCAGCTCTGTACAACTCGGTATTCTTAATGTATTTTCGGTTATGCTTTATAATCAAATAACAGCACAAATACTTGTTTTCAAGAGGTGAAAGTGGATATTAATGAAATATGCATCACTTCTATTAGTTACCCGAGTTGTTTCTTTACTAAACAAAAAAACAACACCCCAACTTCCCTCCTGTCCCCCCCCCTGCCCCCTTCCAACCCTTAAATCAACTTCCAAAGGAAAACAGCAACATCTGTCCCTCCCAGTCCTCTGGTGCTGTGAGTTGAGCAGCAGTTGGTTAGAAATTTTAGAACACCAGGTTGGAAGGGACATCAAGGATCATCTGGTCCAACCTTTCTTGGCAAAAGCACTGTCTAGACAAGATGGCCCAGCACTCTGTTTAACCAAATGTATATGGATAATGAGAGGGGAAGTCCATCCTAAAGTTTATGCTTCCCCAATAGTCATCACTGCTTGTGATCAGCTCGTAGGATGCATTTTCTTCTTCTGTAGCTTCTCCTTCCTTTTTGATTTAGTTGTCACTTACTACTTCTTTATAGAACCTCTTCTCCATTTTTTTGGTGCAGATTAGCTGACGACACAGTTAACTGAAAACCTGTTTTCAGGTTACTAATATCTCTTAAGAAGTATGGTCTCTCCAAGATGTAGTTTAAATATATAAGCCTGCTGTTATTCAAGGGTTGCACCATTGCTGCTTTTTTTCTGGCATCCGTATTAAATGCATCTTTGTAATAACTGAAATCCTTATAATATTGTAGACATTGATGAATGCTCTGAGCAGCCAGCTCTATGTGGCAGCAATGCAGTCTGCAATAACCAGCCGGGGACCTACCGCTGTGAGTGTGTGGAAGGATACCAGTTTGCAGCAGATGGGCGGACTTGTGTTGGTGAGTTTCACATTTCTTAAAAGCCCTGCCACCAGCTTTCAGGCTGTGATTCGCCTCACACAGACAGAAAACAGAGCTTTTAGGATCAGTGCTGATTTCTAATGTGAGCTGAGTTTATGAGTTCTAGCTGCAGTCAGTCATTACAATCCATTAGGTAACCGAAGAAGGGGCCTAAACTACTTTGTTTTCATCTCATAAAAATGCCACACACAGAATGTTTCCAAATAGAAAGTGGAAATGATTATTAAATACTTCTGTCCTTTCCATATCAATATTTAGCTGTAGATTTCACATGGAAGTAAACTTCAAATTTGTGAAAGAGGAAAATTAAAGTGAGCAGTAATTTGTTATTTTGCAGCATCTCACTTTCAAGATGTCATAGGGCTTTCTCTGCATTTTTTGTAGTCCTATGCTTTGTTTTTTTGAGGTTTTATGTTTTGCTTCATTTTTTATATTTGTTTCAGAATTAGATTTAAGAGATTGAAATTTAGTTAAGATTCATCCTTTAGACAAGACAGTGCACAGGTCTAAACCAATGTGTCTATGCTATTGCAGGCTTGTTCTGAAGTGATAGTTAATCATGACGAAAAGGAATTGTAACTACAGATCACGCCACTGTTAAAATGTTTGAGATTTGGAGAAAGTCTAGCTGGTTTGTTAATTGACCATTAAAACTTCAAATTGTCTAGTTGTCACTTAGTTTTCTTTATTTAATGAAAAATTCTTCTGGAAGAAGCCTGAGCTGATTTATACTTGCTAGACTAAGGTTGTCCTAACCAGGGCTATTTTTTCCTCATTGCTCTGGTTTCCACTAAAGTTGTAGAAATTCCATTTGGTAACTGACAGAATTGCAAGTTAATTGTGTGGGATGTATATTGAAAAGTGAATTTTACATGGAGAAAGAAAAACCATAAACTTTAACTTTGAGAACATTAAGCTGATTCTTTTGGGAGTAATTTATACTGCAAACCTCAAAAACTAAATAAAAACATCTACAAGGGGCAGATACAAGAGAGATCATGACAAATGGCAGATAGAAGAGGCATAATGATTCTACTGGTAAAGATGGAACTGTCAGGATAGGATATAGTTTAGATTTTATTTTTTTAGTTAGAAATTTTGTCTATGCAGCCTGACTTTAATTCTGTAGTGACAAAACCTATACACACTCTTCCAGTATGTTTGTTTGGACCAGTTGCTGTTTCTTTTGGAAAAAGCTGATATCAGCTGAGGATTACAATTACTCCTGTTGTGGCTGCTTTGTGGTAGAAACATAGCTATACTTTGATCAGCTAATTCATTCAGGTCTTTCCTCATTATAGCTGAGACTGTTCTTCAGCCAAGAATGAGGAGCCTCTATCTTGCAGCAAAAGGTTGCACACTTCCCTTAAGTGTGTGACTTTGCATGCTGTGTGTTACATTCCATCACAAGCCCCATTTCTCTGCTTCAGTAACAATTGCCATTCACATCTCACAGTGCACCCTAGGTCTCCTCTCTGTTGCAGAATGGTTGGAAAAAGCAACTTCTTCTACCAGGACACTGGAAGGGATAGGGTGAGATGCCGAAGAGTGGGTTTATGTTCTTTTCATTATGTCCACCACTGCTCTTTTGTCACTTGGACCTGAAAGGAACATTCTTCCCTCCAGTCATGACCTCTCTGGCTTCACTCTACCACTTTTCCATTAAGTTGATGTGTCATACTTCTACCCAGTGCTAAGTAATACCTTGTCCATCTTGAAGGACTTTGGTTTTATCCCTTTGTTCAATCAGAAACAAGCTGTGCATCTGTAAGACTGAAGAGAGTGATGATGAAGTCTAGTCTAGTACACTAGGACACTAACACATTAAATGTCATGGTAATCTTTCTCCCAACTCCACAGGGGAGGGTTTCATAACCCACATGCAACTTGAACCACAAAAGGGGCAACAACTACCCTTTTTGTGCTCTTGCAGCTTGCTCTGGAATACCAGCTCTGAATCAGCTTTTCTGGAACTGCAGCTTTTTCATACCAGCTGTGTGACTCACTGGATAGCTTTAGAAGAGAGTTGTAAATAAATCCTTTTCTCCTATATGTAGGCTGAGGAATTGGAGGGCTTGGGAATTCCCTTTAAGCTCCAACTCCAAATCTTATGCATTTATAATGCAGTTCTGAATAGATTATTTTGTAGGCTAAACTTTACTTCATCAAACAGAACAGATTATTCTAACAGTGATGTCATCTCCTCCAGAGAAATGGAGAAAATTGCTGTTTTCAGATCTGGCTCTGATGACAGATTTTTGTTATTTCCCTGCTGATACTGTGCTAGTTTCCATCTGTGTACTGTGATGAAAGAGGCATTGTAGAGTCTCAACTTGGTACTCTATCAACTCCCCATAAGAACTGTGTAAAGCAAAGTTCTCAGTGAACTCTGTGTTACAGGAGCTGGAAGTTCATTCCTAGATACACACACTGCAAACTCATCTGTTTCTGGGCCCAAAATGTTTCTAATATTTTTCCTGTTCTTATTTTAAATACCGTGATTTCCTTTCCTCTTCTCTGACGTAACAGGTAAGCATAAGCAGGATTCCAGCAACTGCCTGAAATAATTAGTGTGTAAAGCAGTGACTCTGAAGTCACTGCTGTCAACAATGACAAGGTTATGAAAAGCTGCAGGACTGGTCCCAGCTTCCACAGTTGATCAAATGTCTCTCCAACAGTTGACAAATATGTTTATCTTCTATTGAGTGAGTCACAGCTCCTGTCTATTGCCAAGTGATGACAGCCCTGGGTCAGTGCTAGGTTAGTGGAGTGGGATATCAAATAATTTCCAGTGCAGTGCATTAACACCAGGGAAGGGGAGATCTTGGGAAAAAAAAAAAAATCCCAACCCCAGAACAAAAAAACTCAGTTTCCTTTCTGTCCTGTGTGCTTTCACAGCTGTTATTTGCTCCCCATAAACTTATTAAGAGCTTCAGACTTTGCACACTAAAATTCACATTTTGACCCCCTCTCTTGTACATCTAACCTGCAGCTGTTGAGTACGTCGTAAACCATTGCCAGGCAGGCACACACGGTTGTGACATTCCTCAGCGTGCTCAGTGTGTGTACACTGGAGGATCCACCTACATCTGCACCTGCCTCCCTGGCTTCTCTGGAGATGGGCATGCCTGTGAGGGTGGGTAGCACCATTTGTTGTGGGAGTTTATGCTTCTTATTGATGAGATAAATGCAGAAACTGCAGTAGTTGCTGTTAGCAGACCAGATCTTTATCTGCTGGAACTGTTTACACTGTATTGGTTTATATACCAAGGTGGTGACAAATGATGTTCAGACTATGTAAAAATAATTATATCAATTGGAGTGGAGAGGGGGAGCAGCTTTACCTAACTACATGTTGAAAACCTTGTTGGCCAAATCCTGCTTCTCTTGCTCTATTGTTTTCCTTGCGAAACATGGGAATATATTTCTAAAATACTGTGTGAGTTATCAATGGAAGTTACCCATCAGAATTACAGAGTGCAGAACCTATAATATATGCATGTTTGTTTTTTTCCTTTTCATTTCTGCATAAATGTTCTTCAAAAGTCTGCAGTTCTAATCAACTATCCTAAAATAGGAGCCTGAAAGTAATATGGCAGGTTCACACTGTAATTCATCACTCTGATTTGTCCATCAGAAGGAACAGTTAACTGAGATTGATATTTTTTTTACAGATGTAGATGAATGTCAGGAGGGCCACTGTCATCCCGATGCTTTCTGCTACAACACTCCTGGGTCCTTCAGCTGCCAGTGTAAGGCAGGTTATCGTGGGGATGGTTTCCGGTGTGTGTTAGGAGGTAAAATTCTATAGTACTTGAAAGTTGGAATGGAAATATAATTCGGGAATTGGAGGATATGTGTTAATTTGGTTCCTCTCAAACACATTGTGTGTTGTCTTATTGGGGTCTTTATTCTTTCTCAAGTCTTTCAAGTTCTGAACTTAACCAAGCTTGTGTCAAAATCTGTATCATAATTACTAAGACTATTCCACAATACCCCATTCTGTGTCCCATTTTATGTTTTGTTTGCTCTGTCCCCAAGCTGTTACTATCTTTTGAAGTTGCCTCGTGTAAAGGTTTGCTTACAGATTGACTTGGTTTGCATACAGAGTAGTCACTTACTATAAAATGTCTGGAACCTTTTGTAACGCAAATGAAATGCAACAAGTACAGGAAAAAAGTGAGGGATGAGACCAAAGCATCTGCACTGTTGTTTTCAGTGGCATCTAGATGCCTACATGCCACATATAGCCACAAAGAGTGACTAACTCCAGTTTCTAACTAGTGCTTAGTTGTTTATGGATTTATCTGGCTTGTTCTCTGTTTAGCAGAAAGTTCTTTACCCTCCCACACTTCTGTTCCTGCATTAGTAGTTTGGGCCTCAAAGTGTAAAACTGCTGATCTTGAAGGTATGCTTTAAAAAAAAGTAGAACACTGAAGCCCAAAGTGGCATTGTTATGGTTACTTCAATTCAAAAGTGTGACAAACCTCTGGGGCAGCACTCAGGTTTTGCAAAATGGTGAATGCTTTCGTCCAGGAAATAAAGCCTAACTTCTTAGTGTATTCAGAATCAATTCTTCTGCTTTTAAGATTTTTGCTGTTGTGCGGAACACCTACACCTCTCAACAGGCTGAGACTCAAACCGTGCAGGCGAGAGTGAGAAAGACATAGGGCCACAGGGAAAGAAAGCAAGAGAAACCAAGACTGGGGAGGGAGACTGTCTTTATAATTCACATGGTGTCAATAATACCCAAAGTAGTTGATGATACAAAATTGAGGGTTCTTTAATAGTGGGTGTGCTGGCTTGAAAGTGCTTGTCTGCTGAAACTTGATGTTTTTCTTTTGCCACCATATTCCCTAATTATGAAGTTCTGACTTTTTTAGCACAGTGTCTTTAAACAAGTTGAAAGAACTTTTTTAGGCACAGAAAAGTTGCAAGATTGGTTCTACTTTTAGATCATATTTACATGGCTCTTCCTCACATGCTCAGCAACACGTGATATGTCAAATCACCCCATGCTTGTAGACTTTTCTATCATAGGTAAATTGTAGGAAGTTTTGCAGCATTTAATTTTGAAGTTCTAGCTTTTGCCACTTTGTCAGTCTTTTAATATTATTTTTAATTAACTTTTCATGCATTAATGCCCATGTGTATTTTAATGCCAGATGAATGAAGAACTACTTAGTGTTTCTGACCTGTGTCAAAATCTTTAGCTAATGAACCAGCTGGTAAAACCAGAATTATTCTTTCTAGAGGAGAAACTTTGTGCTAATAACATTAGCAAAATCAAACCTTAAAGCTTCAGGTTCTCCAGGAAGAATTGTAGAAGTAGAAGTATTGCTTTCATGTCTGGCAGATCCCCTTTGTAGCTGAAACAGGCAGTTTGGGAGACTGATACTTTAATCCAACCAATTAACTTTATTACCAGTACACAATTATTTTTTTTATCTGAGTATATGTGAGAGCATATTTAAGTGCTTTTGATGTATTTGTTGAGAATACCTTTTCATATGCAGTGGTTAGTGTGTCTACTGAACTGCTAAGCAGTGTGCTATTTTGTAGTAGATTTGTTGTTTTTTTGCAGTTCATCATGTATACTTCTTAGTATTCTATACTCAACACAGTTGTATCTTGAATGGGGATCTTTCACATCACAGAGTAATGGTAGTAACAAAATGTTTTGGAGAGTTTTGTTGTATCTGCTGTTTCAGTGGGTGGAGATCTGCCAGGTTTTGTTAGTCTTCATATGTACCTCTTTGATTTTTATTTTTTATGCTATTTTGTACTACCAGTAGGATATAAGCTTTAGATATGCTTGTATCAATTGGCTTTGCTCATTAAATACTCTGAAAATCTGCGTAGCTAAGAAGTCTCACTTTTGCTGAATTCTGACTGAAATACAGAGTATCTGTAATGCTCTGCTAGTCTGCAGCAATGGCAGTGTTTACAAAAACTTAGCTACTCCTCCCTTCTTAGAGAGTTAATAGAACAATAGCTGCCCTTGGGTTGTCATCTGTTACTAAAGCTTTAGTACTTGTAAAATGGCAATATCCAACAGTTAATAATTGCCAGGAGATAGAATAAAAATATACTTTCTGAAGCCTAGCAAAAAGCAGCTTAGTTTACTTTAGCACCCAATTTGTAAAGTAAGTTGCTTCAGCATGGAGATTTGAGATGAGGCTGTAGTTAGAGACCCTTTCTTCCCCTTTTATACCAGCTAAGGTTTTGATCTAATTAGCCTCAGTCAAGTCACTGGAGTAATTCCTGGTTCTTAAAAGCATGGGAAGTTTCATTCATTCAAACTCTCTGTTCTTTTTGCTACACCCATTTCCAATCCATGTACAGCTGTGGGTGTTTGTTTGGTGTCTTTATTATTGTATGAAACCTACTGTTGAATCTTACCACTGCTGAACAGAACACCTGAAACAAGTAGACTAACAATTAAAATGGATTTGAGTCACACACGAGAATATCTGTAGAACTGATCCAGCAGGTTAATGAAAGAGTTAATGATGCTGGAATGTCCCACTGCTCAGAGCTATTAAGAAAGTCTGTACTTCATTATTCCCTCACGCTTCATTTTTCCATTTCAAAAAACCCAGATGTCTGAGTGTTTCTACCCCAGACACTGTTTACTAAACAGAAACAAATCTAGATTCTTAGAACTAGGGGTCTGACTGTTAAGAGACATTTGCTGTTCCTCTGTCTACAATCCCTTTCACATGAGAAATGCACTTAACAGGGCAAGGCTTTAAGTGAAAGATTACAAAGGAAAATGAAAGGACAAAGGGAAGTGTGTATTTTGTTTTGTTTTGTTGTGGGGGTTTGTTTGGTTGTTGTTTTTTTAAGTACCTTTGAGAACAGCAATTAAAAATGTCAGTATAACTCCTTGTGATATGTGGGGAATAAAGTGATCCACATAGAAAATTAAAAGTACTTTTTTATTACATACTGATTCTGGACAGAGAATCACTTCTGTCTTTAGCTTGTGAATGAAAAACCTATTTGAGTAGGTACATCAGATCTTTAAACATTTTTGAATGCTGCTGCAGAATTAATTGAATTTGGTTTAGAGTATCAGACTGTAATCCCTCCTGCAAAATGGAAGGGAAGAAGTCCCATACATCTCTTTCTCATTCTGTTTTCTTAGCCTCCATCAATTTTTTTGGCAAAGCCCATAAATCATTTCTCACAGTGCTGCTGCAAGAGCTTTCCTTTATGACCAAAAAAGACTTCTAATGTTAATATATGTCTTAAGGGTTATTTTTCTCCATTCTGCTTGTTTCTTCAGTTATGCTGGAAATGTATACGTTTTTCACCTGACCCACTTTACATATCCATGCTATTTCCTTTTCATTTTTTCAAACTCCGTTCTTTATTTCAGTAAGTTAAATTTCAGATTGCTTCTGGTAGTTTATGAAACAAATAAAAAAAATGTTTAAAATATTAAATACAAATGTGTTTTTTCTGAATGTATGTATTTAGCTTGACTTCAGGATGCACTCTTCTATGTATCTAGTCTGACTTGCATGTGCTGTACGTCCATGAACCATAACCTCTTCATCAGGCCTTTGATCCCTGTTCTGCACTACAGCTTCACTCTTAGGAGCACTTTTCTGTACACTGGTTCAATTTTTCATTATCCTTTTGAGCTGTGGTTACCAGAGCTGGACCCAGTATTCCTTTAATCATCTCCCCAGTCCCACATTGCTGCTTTATACCTGTGCAGTGTTCTCTGTGTAGATGCTGAATTCTTACATACACCCCTTCACAATCCCTGTAACACTGAGCCTGAATACTGCCATTTTGTCCGCTCACAGTTATCTGCTGATAGCTGTTATCTGCTGGTAGCTGTGATCTCCTGGTATCTTTTTTTGGTTGTGGTTTCCAAGATGAGTCTATTTTTAGAGGCTGGTCTACACAGTGTATTCCAAGAAGTGTAACTTTCCGTTGGACTGTGTAAATTTAATTGTTTATTTCAGCTTATCTAGTGGTGAGGTCCTGTCTTTCTCATGTTTTATGGACTACTTCCACATCAATGCAACCTGTAGTTGAGTATTTTCTTCTGGAATCCTAATAGAGGAATTACATTTTTTGATAAGGAAATTTAAAACCAAGACTAAGGTAATATGGGAACTTACTAGAAATACCACTTGTTCATTACATTTGTCCACTGACTCAGGTGATTTTTCAGTTTTAATCACTTATCAAAATTTATACTGTCCTGTGGTCATGAGTAGAATGCCATAGGGAAACACAAAGCTATTAAGTCAGTGTGTTGCTTTTGTCAGCCAAGCATCAACTGCATCAAAAAGCAGTGAGAACAGATTTTTGCTCAATTTTATAACAGATGTTAATCAGTAGTGTTTAAACATAGGTACTGAGAAACTTGGCCCTGCTGTTAATAGAAGGCTATTGCCACCTTCACCTTCCTGCATCACTGAAGATTACCCAGGTCTTGCTCTTACTGTTTGTTTCATCTCTGGCAGTATGAAGTAACCCTAGTGTGTATGATTTTTCTCATCATTGACATGATCCTTTGGCTTGGCTTTCAAATGTGGGTTTCAAGAATAGTAAGAACCTCTGAAAATCAGGGCTGGCAACCTGTGGGTATGGAGCCTTGAAATAGGTTGGACCTGGTTTCCATTTGCTATGACCAGGTGGTATAGTAGATGTAACAGCATTATTTGTTCTTAGCTCTACCTGTTGTAGTTAATGGAAGTTTTCTTCATGCCAGTCAGGAGATCAGAGAACATTCCTAATGTCAATTTATCTGTATCTTTGAAGAGTTTGGGATTAAATATTACTGTATTTATATTAAAAGAAGAGCACTAAGAAACCTTGTTTAGGTAGCTCTGCTGAAGGAAAGTTGCTAGCCATAAGGTTTGTGTTTGGAAGGTGGCTTACAAAGTAGCTCTTGTACTGCTACCTAAATACATGACAATTCTTGATACAAGTTTTGTCTAACTTGTGCTGTTAGCTCATCAGGGCAGAGAATGTACTTTATTTAGTGTGTCAATCTCATCTTTCAAACTGCCATAGCTAGCCTGATTTCAGACAATTAATGCAATCTAAAGCTTGCAAAATCAGATCATCTCTTAATCACACTGAATGAAATGTATGACTGTACAAGTGGTGTAAGGAAGCTATCTGAACCAGATATTCATCTGTATCTAAGGTCATTGTGCCTTCATTGTTGCATAGGGCACAATACTGGAGTGGGATTCAGCTCTTTCCTCTTTAGGTGTCTCTCAACTGGAAGCATAGTAATCCTGGTCATGATTTAGAGAGAGATAAGGAGAGAAGAAATACATTATGGATTCCAAGTGCCTGGTTTGGACTGTCATAATTAGTTTAGGAGCTTGTTTTAGTTTATTAATTTTAATATTGGCTAAATTCATGTTAATGAGTTGAAGTGAGCTTAACGTTGAATGACAGGTTAAAATGATTGAGTCAGCATAGATGAACATGGTCATACTGGTCTTACATCTTTTCAGAATGTTTCTTTAACATAGATTACTTATCACACTTGATACTGTAAAAAACGTATACCAGAAATATAAGCGACTTTCAGGAGTACAGAAGCAATAAAATACATAGTTATTTCTAAAAGCGAGTGGCAATAGGCTATTTGACATCTTTCTATGCAAGTGAAAAATTCATGTTTATGGGATTTATTTTTTTTAGAAAGAACAAATCATATTCTCCGCCCTCTGGAAGTGAGTACTAATTTTGAAAAATAAGCTGGTTTACTAGTTTCTTGACTTTAGGGGGGCTAATTACATAAGCAGGCTATTTGTGAAATTGGTGTTGATCATAGCAGTAGAAGTACTCTTCAAAAATTCCATCACTATTCCTGTATAAAATCTGCTGATGCAAATGTGAACATTGTCTTGAAATTAGAACAGACATCGGTATTTCAAGTTACCAATAATCCAAATATATTTTATGTATAACAGCTGGGTCCTATCTGGGAGTCTATTATACACACTTGTTTGTATAATACATACTTGCTAACTCATTTTCATAAAGTTGATCTAGTCTATTGTTTTTTTAAAAGGTAAGCTGTTGGATATTCTGGGAGTTTCAGATAAGAAGGACCAATGTCTTTTCTTTTTTGTTTTATCTCACTGAGGAGCTAATAGTGTCTCTCAAAAATTACATTAATGCAATAAAGAATTTGTTCTGCAGTGAACAAAAGCAGGGTGGGTCAGTTTGCCAGTACTTTGTACTCCCCCTGCTTTCTTCTGAGTGGTGCATGTAATTAGAACTGTAAAAGAAAGCAAGTGTGGCAAAACTATCCAGTTGTTGGAATCAGCATTTCTTTTATCTACATAGTGCATTGAATACATGTGAACAAAATTTAAGGTAGATAATGGAGGCTTTCCTTCAGGATTGGGTTTTTTAGGTTGATTCAAGGCTCTCCACCACCCACATTAAAGCTGATGCCAAGTATTTCAGTTGTTTAGAGTGAGCTGTTCTCCAGACATTGATATTTCTCTAATTGTGTCCAGGTGCATGAAACTTGTCCAAAGCTTTTGCTTGCATAACTAGTTTAAATAATAATAATAAACTACCCTTCCTTTTTGTATTTGTGTGATTTACACCCCAGTAGTCTGTGGGCACATGGGATTAGCTTTTTGCTCAGCTGGGCTGAGTCTGGTCTGAGACACACAGCTAATGCTGTGTGCCAGGGGGTGTGAAAGCAGGGAAAGAATAAATGTAATGTTAAAGCCTCTTCAGCAGACAGTTTGTTGTGTTTCTAACTGTTTGTAGAAATCATGACAGGAAAAACATACTCCCCCATAATTAGGGATCTTTCTCTCCCAATGCACAGAAACTTTCAGGGTTCTCAAGTGTAAGGTAAAACTAGCCCAGATTTATTTGTGTAAAAAAAAGCAATATTGTTTTTATTATATTCTTTTAGTTTCATTATGTTGTTTGGCAACTTTGGTGTGGTTAGTAGGTTGAGAATGTACTCCTCCCCCTCTACTCTGCCCTGGTGAGGCCACATCTGAAATATTGTGTCCAGTTCTGGGCCCCTCGGTTCAAGAAGGACAGGGAACTGCTTGAAAGAGTCCAGCACAGAGTCACAAGATTAAGGCAGTGGAACATCTCCCTTATGAGGAAAGGCTGAGGAAGCTGGGTCTCTAGCTTGGAGGAGACTGAGGGGCAACCTCATTAATGTTTACAAATATGTAAAGGGAGAACGTCAGGTGGACAGAGCCAGGCTCTTCTCAGTGGTGTCCAGTGGTAGGACAAGGGGCAATGAGTGCAAACTGGAGCACAGGAAGTTCCATGTAAACATGAGGAAAACCTTCTTTACTGTGAGAGTGATAGAGCACTGGAGCAGGCTGCCCAGAGAGTTGTGGAGTCTCCTTCTCTGGAGACATTCAAAACCCATCTGGACACATTCCTGTGTGATGTGCTCTAGGTGATCCTGCTGTGGCGGGGGGGTTGGACTGGATGATCTTTCCAACTCCCTGTGATTCTGTGAAGTAGAAATATATACTGCTCTAGAAAACATTCCCTGTTACATGACAGATAATACCATAAGTATTGTGTATTTTAGTTCAGACTGTTTTATAAATTTTAAACCAAAAGAATTGAATCTCTTGATAACCTGTTAAGTTAGTCTTTCCTCTGTAATCTCTACAATAATTGATACACATCTGGTGTAGCCATTGTGCATCGTAAGTTTCTCTGAATACCTAGCAGTATTCCTGTTTTCTGTTTAGCCTTACTTAATGCACTTCATCAGGAACTGGACAATCTGTCACTGCAGTTCCTTTCTTGGGTCCAAAAGTATCGCCACATCTGAAATATTGTGTCCAGTTCTGGGCCCCTCGGTTCAAGAAGGACAGGGAACTGCTTGAAAGAGTCCAGCACAGAGTCACAAGATTAAGGCAGTGGAACATCTCCCTTATGAGGAAAGGCTGAGGAAGCTGGGTCTCTAGCTTGGAGGAGACTGAGGGGCAACCTCATTAATGTTTACAAATATGTAAAGGGAGAACGTCAGGTGGACAGAGCCAGGCTCTTCTCAGTGGTGTCCAGTGGTAGGACAAGGGGCAATGAGTGCAAACTGGAGCACAGGAAGTTCCATGTAAACATGAGGAAAACCTTCTTTACTGTGAGAGTGATAGAGCACTGGAGCAGGCTGCCCAGAGAGTTGTGGAGTCTCCTTCTCTGGAGACATTCAAAACCCATCTGGACACATTCCTGTGTGATGTGCTCTAGGTGATCCTGCTGTGGCAGGGGGGTTGGACTGGATGATCTTTCCAACTCCCTGTGATTCTGTGAAGTAGAAATATATACTGCTCTAGAAAACATTCCCTGTTACATGACAGATAATACCATAAGTATTGTGTATTTTAGTTCAGACTGTTTTATAAATTTTAAACCAAAAGAATTGAATCTCTTGATAACCTGTTAAGTTAGTCTTTCCTCTGTAATCTCTACAATAATTGATACACATCTGGTGTAGCCATTGTGCATCGTAAGTTTCTCTGAATACCTAGCAGTATTCCTGTTTTCTGTTTAGCCTTACTTAATGCACTTCATCAGGAACTGGACAATCTGTCACTGCAGTTCCTTTCTTGGGTCCAAAAGTATCAAATTAGTGCTTAAAGTTGATAAATGAACTTTAAAACCTAATATACCTTAAAGCAATGAGTTGTTTCCTTTCCTAGGTTCTGTTAAAAAGTTCAGCATCTGCCTTATATTGAGATTTTTTCTCATGGCTGTGAAGGGCAACTTGACTTTCAGCTTTACAAAAAAACCTTTGTCCAGTGTATGACATGGCTAATTAGTCACATTTTAAGGCCTATGGATAATTGCCAAATGAGCAGACATCGGGTTTCAGAGTCAGACAGAATGTTCTTGGTAATGTGGCTCAAGGAGAAAGACAGTGTTTTCCAGCTTCTGTTTATGATGCTCCAATGTAGGAAGCTCCAGGGGGTCTGTTTGACCTAATTTAAACTAGTCAGTGAAAGGTAAAATGACATAATTTTAAGGGAAATGTGTCACCTTTGGGCATAGGGCAGACTGGTCCTAGAGGTGCACTGAAGGGCTAAGCCTTCAGGGATTGTAACAGTGCGGTGTTCCTCCAGTGGTAAGAATAATTGTGTTATAAGCAGTCAGCATACATTAACTATTAATGGAACATAGTCATTAGTTAAAACAGAAATACTCACTGATCTGGTTTTTGTGGCTTTTTTTTTTTTTTTTTTTTTTACAGAAGTGGAAAAGACCAAATGCCAGCGTGAACGAGAAGTAGCTCTTGGAAGTGGAGGCGCTTTCTTTCCAAGGGAAATAAGAGTTGGTCAGTTCATTCCCCAGTGTGATGAGCATGGGAATTACCTACCCACTCAGTGCCATTCTAGTAGTGGATATTGTTGGTGTGTGGATAGGGACGGAAATGAGATTGATGGCACCAGAAGCAGCCCAGGAGTTCGACCACCATGTAAGTGACTGAAGAAGAACTTGTTTCTTCTGGGTGTCTCTCCACCCGTGTGCACTTCTCCCACATGTGGGGCTTAGTCATGCCTGTGAGGTACAGCACTGACTTGGAGCAATGCAGGTCTTTACTCTCACAGGGACCATATCCCTCATACTTCAGCCCTTCAGTAATTCTGGCATTCACTTTTCCATCAGCCAGGGCATCTGGATAACTGTGGTGTGAGCTTCTGAATAAGAAAGTGGTTTTCTAACTTCTTCCTTGCCTTGAAACTGTGACAGGCCCCTATAGTTTGTGCTCTGTGGGAGCTGTGGCAAAGCCAAATGCGGTAACTCGCTTGCCTCAGGAAATTAAGGATGTTCCTTCCTATTCTTCACTTCAGCTGCAAAATAAGGTTTTTCTCAACATTTGAAGGAAAGAGCAATTACAGGGCTGGACATGAAAAAACCTATTATGTCGATTGCTCCTTCTCTGTCAGCCAAAGGAAAAATTCAGAAGCTTTCTGCATCTGATCATAGTTATTAGTGTCTGTTTATGGGGCTGTTTCTTAGAGGTCTGTAATTTTGTCACTGCAAATAACAGACAGCCTTGTTATGCTGTACAAGCTAATTTTTTCCACATCTGTTTCTTTCTCTATTAACAAGGTCTGAGCACAGCTGCTCCTCCTGTTGTTATTGGGCCCTCTGTTCGACCAGATACAGTACCTCTGCCACCAGGAACACACTTGCTCTTTGCCCAAAGTGGTAAAATTGAACACGTTCCACTGGAGGGAAACAATATGAAGAAAAATGGTGCAAAAGCACTCTTGCATATTCCAGTAAGTAACTTACTATACTAAGTCCACATGTTTTAGAAGACTTGTGAGAAAGATTAGAGTGTTTTTCTATGTAATTTAGGTTCCAAACTCAGTTTTTACTCATTATTCAAATTTCAGTAACCTATCACTTTGTCACAGAAAATTCCTGCCATGACTAGTCAAAAAGCCTAAAACTGAACTGTTGTTTAAAGGCAATTAAAAAAAAAACAAAACCTCATAAGACAAAAATCTAATATAAGTGATCTGACATGCATCCAACAGCTCATCATATTAACTTTTCTACAGCCACACTTCCATTGACTTTCTGACTCTGGTGTATAAAAGTCTAGGAGACCTGCAGGAGCAGTGCATGGAGAGCTTGCTTTTCTTTTCTCTAGCTTCCTCAAAGATTTTTTCCTAAGTCATAATCTCTTCCTGTTTTTCAGTCAAGTCTCTGTGCTTCTTGGCTACAGATATATATTACATTACTATTTTTTCTTTTTTTTTTTGCTTCCTTCTCCATGTGCAGACCCAGTGGGTGGTAAATCTTTTTCTCACACTTCTTGCTACTGTCTTGAAAATCTCTTTCCCTTGAAAATGAATCTCTGATGCTGAGAACCTCTCTTTTCCATCACTGTGACTCACACCAACTCTTCTCACTCTAAGTTTCATCACATTGATCTGTTTTGCCCAAAGCCTGGGATTTCTGTTTTCATTCCAGTGTTACTGTATTTGTAATAGATAGTAATACCAGGTACCGTGCTGGCCTCTTTTTTACATTACTGTGACTATTTAGTAGATCAAATACTAAATTCCACAGATTCAGTTTAGTAAGTAAATAGCACCACAAACTGTGCTGTAATGTAAGGACAAAATCAAACTTTTGTCTCTTGTCTAAAGTTCTGCTACAATAACATAAAAATAAACTAAAATACTGTGTGCAAAATGGGGTTGGTAGGCTGATGCTGAGATGTGATTCTAAATCCTTGTCAGCTAAGATTGTATCTTCAGGCAAGATCTTCCAAGAGATAAGAGTCAACTCTTTATTAAAACTTTATATTAAAATGAAACTTTCAGTCTCTGCTAATAGTATTGTCTCTGCTTGTGTTGTCTCAGTGTTGTGTATTTGTGAAGGGACAGCGCTGAGCAGTGTAGAGGTGTTCAGATTGTTTTGTAACCTACAACATTAATGTATGCTGGTGAGTCTTTCTAAGTTGCAAGTTACAAAAGCAGCAAAGGCAATAGATCTGGGAATCCACGTGAAATATTGGTTTTATTCTGAAATTCTCTTTTGTTTGCCTGGAGGGAAGGGTATAAACTCTAAACTCAAACTCTAATCCCATCTTCTCCTGCCTGGAAAATTGCATATACATGTTCCTAGTTTCTGAGCATATTCTTTCCAGCAGAATTATTTTTGGAGCATTTAAGCTATTTTTATTTCAAAAACTTACTTTGCTAGAACTTTTTTGATGCTACATAACACTTTGAAATGCAGCCATCATGCGTGGGTTGGTAAGTAGACAGAACATAGGGTAGATTTGATAGAAGCAGTTATTCCTCCTTGAAGGGGAAGAATGAGGGGGAAAAAAGCACATGAGAAATAACACAGTAAAATAACATGAACTTTCTTTAGTGGATATGCAGGTGAAGTTATCAAAGTGAGTCAAAATATTCAGTAGTAGTATCTATGGTGCTGCTTTGAAATAAGATAATTGTAGATGGTGTCTGCAAGTTAAAAGGGACTCATAATTTAAATAATTTTTCTAAGCTATTCTACAATGACTGACACCCAATCTTTTTCTTTGCCTGACAGCCCATCTCCCACCTTTCCTCAATAATTCTGTTTTTCCAGTCTTGAGGCTTAGATACATAAGCTAGTGCTGTTGGCAAAAAATTGTTGTTTAGCATAAGCTAATGTAATTTTCTTGTTGACCAACAGGACAAAGTTGTTATTGGGGTTGCTTATGATTGCACAGACAAAATGGTTTATTGGACAGACATCAGTGGTCCTTCGATCAGCAGGGCCAGCCTGCATGGTGGGGAGCCAACAACCATCATCAAAACAGGTAACAGAAAAACATTCTTTCTCTTGCTACTCCCTAGGAATGGCATTATAGACTTTAATTTAGTAATACATACTTCCCAGGTGTCGCCTGAGCTTTAGCATTACAAGTTGGTATTATTTGGATAAACAATAACCAGGAAGTCTGGATAACATAAAATGAAAAAAGATCTGCTCCCTGTGCAGTAGCCCTTCGCTGCCTTTCCCCTGCTAAGATAGACAAGAAGTTAGTTGTCTTTAAATAAGCTAAGTTCAAGTCCAAAAGCGGGAGCAGCACGTCAGGGAGATGTTTCTATCCTTCCCTGCAGTTGCAGGATACTGTCTCTGTCTAACCATTGAACATCACAAGGGGCATTTTGTTTGAAGGCTGATTTGAAAGATGAATTAAGCTGATGTGATGATTTTAAAGTATATCTCGGGGCACTAATGGGTGCAGTGTTCAGAGGCTCACAGTCTGGGCTTTGGACAGTATCGGCTCCTCACAGCTTGGAGGATTTCTGTACCCAATTACAGGCACAGGCTGTGCTTATATTTTTACTGTGTCTAACAAGGCAAATGAGAACCCTCCTTTGGATGCTTTGCCACTTTTGGGGAGGAATCTTAAGGTAGGCTTGAGGCTTTTACTACTCACTGCTTCTGGATGATATCCTTAGAGCTGCTGCTTTAGGGAGGCACCACAGCTAGCACTCTCAGGGAAAATCCCCAGGTCATGACATCCTGGATTTTTAAAGCATGCTCAAGACCTCACTTTCCTGTGTTGAAGATTGGCTGTGTTATGCTGTGCCCAGCCTGACAGCCTCTGTGTAGCCCACCTCTTTCATAGTCATGTGAACCATACTGATCAGAAAGAGTGGTCCAGCATCCTTCCTGAAAAGGGCCCATGGTTCTGGCCATGAGGAACGGAACACGTAGGTAGGCTAAGCTCAGACTACTGTAGATAGATGTTATTCATGCTTACAATGATGCAATGGCTACAAGATGTAAATATGTGAAGAAGAAAGTTTATAATTAAAACCTGGGACATGTGCAGGGGTAGACCCATAGGTGTTCAATATATTTATGATACGAAAGGGGGATGATGGGTTGTCAGTTTGCTGTTGAATGGATATTGAAAACAATCAAAACTAAAGCTGACTAAAGACTTGCATTTGTGTGTTCACATGGAATATCATCTGGGAGTGTCACTTGTGATTTTTGTTCTGGTAAGCAAGGTAGTTAATCCACTGGCTAGCTGTGATTTGATTATGTGTTTGGTTAGTGCTTTTGCAGTTTATGTACCATTCTTAAACTGTTTTCCCCAAGACTCTGCTGCTCACTGCAGCCTGTGTTCATTTTCATTAAATGCATCTTAAATATGAAACCATTTTTAAACAGAAAGGGTTAAGAGGAAGGATAGGTTTGGAGAACAAAGTGAATGAGTGAATGTGGAGGCATGAAAAAACCAACAGAAATAGCTGGATCCACTTTTTGAACTCTGATGTCCTCAGGATCCTAGAACACCTGTGAAGTCAAGATACTGAATAAGGCTGCCCTTTGGATGTGTGGAATATCTCTGTCTGGAGTTTATTTTTCAGATTGACCATTGCAGGGTTGCCATTAAGGTTCTTACAGGCAGCAGAGAGGTGGGGGTGGCTGGGATCTTACTGTTGTCCTGGGAAGCAAAAAGGAAGATCCTAAGGCCATCCCCAATCATTACAGCAATTCTAGAGCCTCATACTTCTCTACAGCTTGATGTCTGAGATACTTATCAGACTTCTTTGACATCCCAACATATTTAAACTGAAAGAGACTTCAACCTGTAGTACAAGCATATGCTTGTAAAAATAAAAATTATGTGGGGAAAGGATTTCTGATTTCTACTATTAAAGCATTTTCTCAGATTCTACACTTGAAATTTAAAGGCAAGACTAATGCTAAAATTTTTATATGCATATGAATTAGTCTGTCTAATGAGAGTGTGTATGCATTAAAAATCTTGCAATTTATACAGTATTTTAGAAATACTTTTGAAGACTCTCAATTAAATGTGATTATTTTAGGTAATTCAAGATGCTTCAACACCACAGGGAAACATTATTATTTTTATCTGCTACAAAAGATATGTGGATTTGTAAAAGCATCTCATTATTTATGTTGTCCTGTTTGCATAGGAAGTGAATGCCATTCCTGAAGAGATGTTGAGTGATGCTGCACTTTACTTTCCATATGTTAACTTGTTCTTCGATAAGAAGAAAAGAAAGTTGAATATTCAGAATTCAAATGGATATTTTCTTTGCTGGCCAAAACTGAAGCTTTAAAATTTCAGGAAATAGGAAAATGCCTCCCTCTCAGGAGACTCATGAGAATTCTTAGTTTTGTTTTGACCTTTGCTTTTTTCCTCCTGTGAGCTGCAGCTGCTTTCTTCAGTTCACATTTATTTTCACGGAATGCGCTACTTTTTAGTTTGCTGAAGCTCTTGTGCTCCAAGTTGTTTTGCAGAAGCATGTTTTATTGTGGAGTCCTATCCAGTTCTTATCTGTCCTCGCAGCTGTAGAGGCCATGGAGGCTTTCTGATCTCTGCAGCTGTGGAGACAGGCTGGGAAGGAGAGCTTTCCTCTTTGTTGTAGTTGCTTAAGTCATATCAGCCATACATGTCTGTACAAGCCTGTCCCCAGGGACAGGGCCTGTGACTGTATCAAGCCTGATGACAATGTAGAAGGCACATTTGTGCCTCTGGAAAAACTAGTGAAACACAAAGCCTATATATTCCCTTGCCCCTCCATGGGGGATATTTTTTTCTGGCTCATTGTCAACCAGACAGGAAAGAAAGTTACTTCAGACTTCCTTAAATCTGCCACATAGCTGAAGCAAGGAAACTAGTCAGGGAACAGGGGCTCCTGAGAATCAGTGGCAGCAGATCTTCTGCCTGCTAACCTCTTCTGCTTCCTAAAAGAGGCTGGGAGCTTCTCCACTAGGATTTAGTCAGTGATCCCAGAGACTGGGGCTTGTCACCACCATCACCTCAAAATGATGCCACTCTCAGCAGCCCCTGCTTGTTGTAAGAAAAGTAGTAGGAACATTTGAGGGTCTGAGGTAAATGTGAAGTGGTTTCTTGCAGATGACAGGTTTAACTCCACTAAGGCACTTGGAGAAATACAAGTAGTAAAGTGAAGTCAGTGTAACTAGGTTAAAATATGCCCAAGTGCCCTTGGGAAGTGTAAAGAGAGAACTGATTCACGTTTACTTTCTTGGGCCCCCTGTGCATGAGTTGTGAGTCAGAAGCAGTGAAATATGTCTTATTTGTTCTTTTCCACCTCTTCAGCAATGAAGTCATGTGTCCAGGTTAAGTGTGGTAGGAGCAGAGGCTGTTAAGGCTATTGAGCAACCACTATTCGTAACAAAGTCACAGTAGCAAATTTTAGACAGCTCTACAGTGTTTTGGACCAAATGCCTTTCCTCCAGAAAGGTGTTTTTGTCACATACTCTTTGTTTAATGGCTGTCAAAAAATAAACTTGACAATTAATAGAAGGCTGATGGGCACATTCCATCATTCTTGAGTATTTACATGATGTGTGGATCTGCATTTGAAAGGTGTTTTTTCAACATATAGCTGGTATGAAGGGTTACTTTGCCTCTTCTGGGGAGAGATTGCATACAATTATTTCTGTTTCCTGTGGAACTGAAATTAGACTATATTTGATTTATACCTGTCTTTGGCTTCATTACATCCCAAACAGCCTGCCTGCTCTTTTTCAGTGGATATATGAACCTTGAAAAATATAGAGCAGTTTTTTATGATGGCTGAATTAAACCTTGGAGTGCTATATATTTCTTCTGCATCCTTCATCTGAGTTTGAAAATGGTAATGCTAAAGGAATAGGGTCATTATCTGCTATTTCCTGTTGCTTTTGGAACATCTAACTGTCCTAGAAAAACTGCACATACAGTACTAAAACATGTTCCAAAAATGATTGCTCTGCAAAAACAAAGAACTGGATTTAAATTCCATCAGTTAGCTGATCTTATTATCTCTAGTGCTTTGGAGCTTGATTGTCTTTAAATATTGCATTGGCTAAACTTAGCATAAATCCGGTTTTCAGAGGGATCCCACCTATGCCAATACCAAGGAAGGAGAAATATTGGGTATTTTAAAATCCATTCTAGATCCTGGCCTCCTAGGGAGTGGTAGAATAAGATTCTGATAATCTGTACTGTTTACTTCTCTGTTATCAGCTCTTTTCTTGTCAACCCGTCAAGTAAAGCTTGCATGCATGATGAGTTGGTTCTTCATAAAAATTGTCACTTTATATACATATGAAAGTTCTGTGTATTTAGACTTAATAAAGCAAAATGTGTATTCCTCTTCCAACTGACATGAAGTAGTTTTTGTTGGAGCACAGCCAGAAAACTGAAGAAAACTCAGTTAAAAGTTAAACTTGTGAGGCTGACATGTATTGGGAATAAATATAACGCTTAGGCATGTTTTTCTCTGTTCTTCTTCAGACTTGGGAAGCCCTGAAGGGATAGCTGTAGACCATCTAGGTCGCAACATCTTCTGGACTGACTCTCAACTGGATAGGATAGAAGTGGCGAGACTGGATGGGCGCCAGCGTCGCATCCTCTTTGACACTGGCTTGGTGAACCCCAGAGCGATTGTTGCAGATCCTGTGAGAGGGTATGGATGTTTTCAAGACATATGTGCAAAGCATGATTTCATTCATTCATTTATTTTTTTTTTAACATGAGTGCATATTCTGAGTCCAAGTTTTTAATCTGTCTGCAGACAATAATAGGACTGTCTTTTCCTAAAACAACTAACAAACAGGAACAGAACAGTCTACTTGTGTCCTGTGTCTGAATGGCACATGAGAAACAAAACTTCTAAAATGTCTGCTGGGTAATACTGTGTTGAGTGGTTTGTCAGATACTTATTTGTAGCTTGCTTTTAGTACATTGTTTGCAGGATGACAAGCATTGCCCTTACCTAATTTTTTATTATTTTTTTTTCAAGATTGCTGGTCTAAAATACTAGATTAAGCAATGTTATATTTTCATTTCCATCATGCCAGCCCTTATTTCTGTAGAGTGTTCCTTTGTTGAAAACTCCCATGGTGTGTCTTCTGTAATAATTTTCACTTCTATTATTCAGTGGCCTAAGAAGGTCCTATTAGGCTTCTATTTGAAGATACAGATAACAACATACTTTAAAAATCAAGCCTGTAAAAGAAATAGCCAAGCAGAATGTCAGTAGGAATGTGTAAATGTTTTTAAATGATGCAAAAAAAGAAGTGCATACATACTTTAATGTAGTCTCTGATCTGTTGACATTTTTTCTCTGAATATTGGAAGAAATACAGGGAAAATTAAAACTAATACAGAGTCCATGGTAGTACTGCCTATTTGTTCACCAATGTCTGAACTTGCAAATTGGAGTGATACAAAATTAAGTTAAAAAGTAGTGCTATTGACTTCTCTAATTCCCTTAGTATAAAATAAACTTTTACATAGTAGTCACACAAGAGTTGGATTGAAAACATCTGTGGTTGTACATTAAGTGACAGCATAATAGGAAAAAATGATTACACTTCGTGGTGTGAGACAAGGGGAGAGGCACAAGTGCAATCAGACTGTTATATGCAGAACTTCACTGATGAAGTAGAGCTCTCAGTTCAGGTCAAGCAGCACAGACATCTGTCTCCTAGTACATTTTGTGTGTGTGTGTTAAGAAGTAACCAGCAAAGGTGCTTGCATTGAGGGACCATGTAAATTCTCGGCCACAAAAAGTGCATCCAAGGGAAAAAAAAACAACATATTACTAACAAATGACGATTAATAATGAAGTATCTGTGAATTAATGGCCCTCTCTGAGCTTCTCCCGTGACCATCAGCTACTCTGATTTCATCATATGTTGCTTACTTGGTGCACTGAAAAGAAAAATGTAGTTTTGAATGAATCCCACAAATGTACACCAAATGCTTCTGCTGCTCATCCTAAGTAGATATGATGAGAACTGTAGATGTACATTTTTAATGGTCCTCAGAACTGTTGAAATAGAGGTCTTTTTGCCTGGCATGTTATACATAACCTAAACAATGTAGAGAAAGCATTTCTTCTCATGTGTGTGCTTGCTTTTTTGTTTTTAATGGAAGTACAACATTTGGTACATCTTTACTATTGAGTCCAACTGTTAAGATTTAGGGTATGTGTGTTACTTTTTTGTCCTTAGGATTTTCTTTAATTGCAACAGTCTTTTCAGATTAGTCACTGGCTTAATTCTTGTCTATTTCTTCCTTTTAAGAAACTTGTACTGGACTGACTGGAACAGAGAAGCTCCTAAAATTGAAACCTCATACATGGATGGCACAAACAGAAGAATTCTTGTTAAAGATGATCTGGGGTTACCAAATGGACTGACATTTGATCCTTATTCCTCAATGCTTTGTTGGGTAGATGCAGGTAAAGAGGTGCTAAAATCTTTCTTCGTAATAGTAGAATAAATATGTGCAATCCTGTAGTTCTCTGCAGCCAATTAATGTTTATAGCTCTCTAAGATGCATCTTCAACTTCATGCCTTTAATAATCTCTCGATTTAGTCATTTTTACTACCACTGTAGCATTCACATTTCTGATCACAAAACTTCCTAGGAATGCAATAGATTTATATCTTTGTGTCTTGTTTGTGGCTAGCTCTTTAAGTTGTGCTTAGGCCTTTGTAGAAGAAGTTGTGAGTTTAAGGTGAGGAGAAAACACTGATTCACCTAGTCTGACCCGACAGAATGTTGTCCTGGTACTCATGTTCCAAGACCTGTAACCTTAGGCAAAGTCTGGCTTATATTTGACTGATGCAAGTCTTGCAAAAGAACTCACACTAGAATTAAAAATCAAGAGGTCAAGGTTCTCCCACCACCTGATTGTTAGTTTTGTGCTAGTGTCTTATAAGTAAAAAAAAAAAAAGTGTGCTTTTAATCTTTGAACTTTTTTCTTTGTTATCTTGCTGTCTTTCTCCCTGTAGACTCTGCCAGAGATCTCCTCCAGTGGAGGTGCTTTTACACTTCAAATCACCTTCCAAGCTTTTGATAAACTACAAAGATCTAACTCTCTTTTTCACTGTAAGATACTTTCTCCAACCTTCAAATACATCTCCTTGTGCTACCTTTCTTTTCTTTTTATCTCTTCCTCTCTTTGCAAAAATGCCTTCTAGGGGAGGTGGAACTGATTAGTGCTTGAAGTATCCCTCCAGAATGGAGGAGACTATCTGTCAGCTTCCATACCAGCTTGAGGATGTTGGTATCTGTAGCAGCAATATCAGCTTGTGAACAATGGCCATGGCTGCACTAGACATCTGTGTTCCTGTGAGTTCGGTGGTGTGCTGATTAGCATTAGCATCAAAGCACTTTTCTATCCAATCTTTGGCACATGCAGAGATGTGACCTGGGGGAGGGCTTTGGATTGGCAGGCATACTGAAAGACTTCCAGAAAGTTTTACCCTGTTCATGCTTGCATGCTTATGCATGACCTTCGTCCCTCCTGAGAGCTCTCTTGCTCTGATTCAAAGGCTGAATTGTTTCACTACACTCAGGTACCAAGAGGCTGGAATGCATGAACCCTAATCAGTTTGGTCGACGAAAGATCGTTGAAGGAATTCAGTATCCTTTTAGTGTTACAAGCTATGGGAAGAATTTATACTACACAGACTGGAGAAGGTATGTTATCTGCTGAAGAAATTATGGAGCACTTTCATCTATTCTTCTCCCTGGTAGAAGCTGAAGTATATACTGCTTTCTCATGTCTGACCTCTCACACATTCCTGGGTTTTTTGCTTTCCTGGCAATAGCTGTTGCAGGGCGGAATGGGTCTGTAGGGTTGATCTGTTAATGTTGCCAGTTAACTGAGTTTTCATTTTTAGCATAGTGATTTGTCCTCTAAGAAAATTATTTTAACACTGAACATTTTTGGGAAAGGAGTGGGAGCTAACATGTTTCCCTTATGGCAGTACTTGCTGCATTGTGGAGAACAGAAATTAATCACTCATCTTTTTTTATGCCTTGTGTTATCTGAATGTACAACCAGAAATAAGTAGAAAAACATTTTTTATGTCTTGCTGACACTTTCTTTGTTGCAAGTGATCTGAAGTATTGACATATGATCGAGACTTTACAGTTTATTATATTTTTCCAGAAAAAAAAAATCTAGCCTAAGCTTTAAAAAATATTTCTTTTCTGTTGACATAAATGGTTGTGTGGGCTCTATCTGCAGACTCTTACACAAATAACTCCATCAGTTGCAGCAGGAAGAGTTATTAATGTGCTGAAGGATTTCCAAGTCAGAACCTAAAAGCTGGGAAATGCTATTCTAGAACTGGCTTGTATAAATGGGAAACAGTGTGTTACAGGTCTCTCACTTGACTGCCCTTTTATTTTTCGGAAGAAAGGATTGCTTATGACTAACTGTATTCCTTCCAGATATCAGGCTCCACCTGAAATACAACATTGTCCATGAGCATTATGCATAATAGGTGCAATGTCAACTATACCACAGCAAATGTCAGAGGGGCAGAATATGGTGAATGCATCAATGCTACTAACAGATCCATTCCTGTAGAAGGACATTGTCCTGTGTTGGAAGTGCCTTCAAAACTAGTAAGGTGTCTCCCTGTTAAATTTTAGCTGCCTAGAAGGAAGGTTGTGACATATTTGAGTTGTCCAGGAAAGATGATGCCTTGGAGGATTTTGCTTCTGGCATTGCTTCCTAATTGTAAAAAAAGAAGCAAGTTGAGATTTCTTTCCCATTCATTTAGTTTGTCTTTTTGTTTTCTCTTGTACTTCCACCTTCATCTAACTTCTGTATATGCTCTTTTGCATGTGGCAGGGATGCTGTTGTAGCAGTGGATCTCACAATTTCCATGGAAAAGGATAACTTCCAGCCTCACAAGCGCTCCCGTCTCTATGGAATCACTACAGCCTTTGCTCAGTGCCCAGGAGGTAATCCAGTTTATAATCAAGGTTTTACAGCTGTACAACACCTCAGGCTATAAATGAACTTAGTAGACACTCCCACTGAAAGTCTGTCAGTTTGGTCGAGGTAGCTAGTGAAGAACTACTTAGTGCTTAGATTTCTGTTTGCTAAGAAATTAAAAGCCACCTAATATTTTTTTCATAAAAGCAGTGATTGTCATTGCCATATGAAACCAGCACAGGGAGGGAAGAAGGGGCATGTTCTTTACAAAAGGTCAAGTGTATGATGATGAGGATTTTATCTGACAAAAGCTGATTTGTTGTCTTGTCTTGTCTCAGTTGAATGCTAGATTAGGCTAGGGCCTTATTTACTTATTTGCAAGTTTAAACTACAGAAATATCAAGGTCTTCCAGATGTCCTTAATGAGATCCAATGTTTTTAAAAAGGGAATGTTCAGAAAACAGCAGGTGGTAGAGTGGGTGGGCTGGTCTTTCTGCTCTGTTGAATGTTAAGTATTGCCTAGAAAAGAGAAAGTTGATACCCTTGAAATAACAATTTGTTCTTTGGAAGGCAATATCATTGTTCAGTTATGTTGTTCTTAGCAAATCACAGTTGGGAGAAAAGTTCACTTTTTTATTATTACAGTGTGGCTGGAATTATTGGAGTTGTGGTGTTTTTACTTTAGGCCTAATAAACCCATAAGTTAATTTATCTTCAAGTTATTAAACATATATAGTAGAAAACATCATATAATTGAGTGCTTGGTTCAGAGCTTAAGAAGCATAGAATCATGATGTCATAAGATGTAAGTTATGTTGTAGTTAATTCACAGTTCCATTTTGGTAGGCAGTGTAAAACAAGTTGTGTGCTCTAAGCAAATGCTTATGTTTATAATATCGAGAACCTTGGTATATTTTATTTTTTCTCTCTTAATATGTCTATTTCAAGTGTTTTTATTGGAACAGATGTCTGTCCCCTCAGATCCACTGCTTCCGGCACTGTCTTCTCTATCATTTTAGCCTTCAACATTAGTATAAACCTCCCCACTCCATTTTTGCATTTTCATAGGTCATTCCTCTGTGTTTTTGTAGTGGGTGGTACCTGAGGAAGAGGTAGCATTTTGAAATTTGCCTTCACATTTGGCATTTTTGCCACATTCTGATGTCTGTGACCATTTGGTGAATATATGAAGGGCATTTCAGGAGTAGCCCAGTTCTTTTATGCTTCCTCTCCTGCTCTGTCCCAGTATCTTGATCTTTCTTTGAGGTCAGTATCAGAATCTGACACAAGGGATATAATGACTCTCATCTCCCCAGAGCATAGATTTGCTTCACTCTCGATCTTGTTATGACTTGTCTCTCTAGTGTAGTCATGGAATCTGCACTTCTTTTGTACCTATGTGTTTAGGATTTTATTGTGCTTTTGCTATTGTTTTTCTTTGACATTTTACATCTCTTTTGTTTTCCAGGACACAACTACTGTACAGTGAATAATGGTGGTTGTACTCACCTCTGTTTGGCTACTCCTGGAGGCCGTTCTTGCCGCTGCCCTGACAACACAGTTGGAGTGGATTGTATAGAAAGAAACTGAGCATTAAAATAAGCTTTAGAGGGGCAGACACCTTTGGAAATGTGCTGTAAACAATTCAGTCCTATCAACACAATCAGGCCCTAAAGATAAGTGCTCCATGCTGCTGACATGAAGCCGCAATGCACACATGCAGACACACACACAGGCAGTGCCTGTTTTTAGCAGTTAGACAAGACAGAACAGACCCGGTTGGGTCCAACTGCATATTGTTCCTTGTAATGTCATCTCCTTGCTTTTAAAGGTAGATAGTGGAGGTCTTAGTTGCATCTGTGCTGGGCTAAGAGGATGTGTCTCTTGGCAAATTTGAAGTAACAAATAGGGAACAGAGTAAAGCAGATGGCACGACTCGAATCCTGAGACTGAGTTGTATCTCCAAGTATGCAGCAGTTATCTGCAAGTGGCATGCTCAGCCTATCACGTAGGTGACTGGGCCATATCTCTAGCTAAGAAGCAACAAGGGAGTCCCAGAGATTAACAGATGGGAGTGGGAACACTAAGCAATATGAAAGATTTAATGCCTAGCTGCATTCCTTTCCGCTACAAGTCCCTCCACTTCCAAAACTTGAATCTCAACTTCTGACTCTTGTATCACAGAAATACTTAATCTATGTGCTGTGAGGGTAGTTCTCACCCTAGCTCATGTGATCCTTTCCCACAGCACATGATTGTTTATGAATAATCAGCATTGCTTAGTGGATGTATTTGAAGTTTTTGTTGGATTTTAAGAGATTTATTTTTCTTCTGTCTGAGGTGGATTCCTGATTAGTTTCTTAAAATCCACTAAACAAACCTTAGATATAGATTTTAATTGCTGATAGTTCATTGAAGAATGGTTGTTGATTCATTTGAAGGTGTTTGTCTTTAAAGACGCACGCAGTCACATTTGTTTCCTGAGAGCTTTAAAAATACTATTTCTACGTTTGATTCCATAAACCTGAAAGTGGTCTTCAAATTCTATCCTAGCAGACTTTCTTCTTTACCAAACCATGCCATGCCTTTTTGTAGACAATGAGAAACCATGGCAGTTAAAAATCTGGTTTCCAGAAAGGTGAGCTGTGTCTTGGTGCTGCCCTGTTTTTGTGCCCATGGTCAGTAACAGCAAAAAGGTGTGCAACATCAAAAAGCAAAGCTAATGTTTTCATTATCACCAGTAAGTCTGGAACAGGGAGGAAAATTAAAATGCATATCCTTGTGTCAAATTAGCAGTACAAATCTGGGAGTGAAGACTGGCTTCCACACTGTGTGTTGGGAAGGAAGCTTACTCACAAGCCAACTTGCAGCTCCAAAACAAAACAGGGCTTGTGAGGCTTCTGTCAGAGCACAGTTCACAATGTTGTGATCAGAGCAGTAAGCTAATGCCCCCATTTCCCGTCTCCCTCTTCAGACACAACAGTAACAGTTTTAAACAGAGCCAATTCTGAGTCTTAACTGTGTGACATCTTCCTCTTTAATTCTGTATTTATCATAAAATAGCAAAGCATATAAGCATTTTAAAGATTTTTTTGTATAACTTTTTATAACTTCTTGTTCATTTTATTCGTACACTTAATCAGGTATGTCTTACTGTAAATATCAAAAATGTTGAAATGAAGGTGCTTGATAACTCTCCAGAATTATTCACGTATCTGGTGGAATATTAAAGTTTACACTCTGTACAGGTATCTACAGTACAGTCAATAAAAATGTTGGTTTTTATTTTCTATAAAAAAAGAAAGTCATGCCTGCAGAAGGAAGTGATGTTGGTGTCTCAAAT